GGCGTGGCGCGGCGCGGCGTCCTGACGCGTCCGTCGCACGTGCACGCGTCCTGACGCGTCCACGACAGCGAATATCCGTGAGAGACTGGGAGTATCGATTCGTTTGAGAAACGCAGAAGGAACATACAACATAAAGAGAGAAAGAGAAAGGCATCGCATATATACCCGCTCCGCATTTCGCGTGCGGTAGCGCGGCCGCTCTACGCGGCATCGCGCGGCATCGTGTCGCGTCGCGTCACGTTGCGTTGCGTTGCGACGCGCGACGCCTCGGCGACACGCAATTTCACATTCGCGCCCATCGGCACTGTCGGCAGTAGGCGAGACGGAAGAGAAGGAGGAGATTGGAGTAGGAGTATAGACAACGGCGACGGCGACGGTGGCGGCGGCCGCTCACCACACGCGCGTACCGAGGCCTAACGAACTCGTGTGCTCGTGTGTTGTAACAACGAGCGTCGACGCCGCGTCACGCGGCGGTGTGGCCGCGCGATAACGCACACGAGAGAGGGACGCATAGTGGCGGCCGGCGACGTCGTAACACGCAGCAACGTCACGTCCCCGATGGTGAGTCTGTCAATCGGTGTCGACGTCACGCGCGCGCCGTGCCGCGCCGCGCGTCACGCCGAGTAAACGCGCTCTCCGCTCCGCTTCTTTACGCTCGAAAATCGAGATGAACAGCGGCGATGACAAAGACGGCGATCATTTTGCTCAATTGAATTCTCGGAAAGGTCATGCGTAGACTTTCATTTCTTATTTCGCGAGGTCGTCATCCTCTCTCTTTCTCCCACCTTCGTTACGAGTTGATTTCTGTTTTTTTTTTCATTTTTTATTTATTATTTTTTTGTCCCATTGTTTCTCCGCGCCACGAGCGCCTTGTTTATTTCGTAGCCTTGATATTTCCATTCGTTTTTTGTCTCCTTTCTCGAGGTACGCGAGCGCGACGGAAAACGAAAATCGTGACGCGATGCGAAGCACGCAGTACGAGAAATGATTCTATTCGTTCGAAAAATTCCTTCTTCGATAATGAAGATCTTATGCATTTCTTTACGCATTTAGAGTTTTCGATGACGTGGAAGTCACGCCTGTCCAGATCTCGTTGAAAATGAAATTTGCGGAGATCGAAGTTTATGTCGATAATCAGTCAATGATCTGTCGCGGCTCAATTTCCGTTAATTTCTAGATTAATCAGTAGACCGGTTGTGGCAAAAGAAGTAAAATGTGGATATCGAATTCGGATGATGGATTTTATGCTGATATTATGCAATCGGGTGTAATATCTTAATGGTATTATACGCGTTCATAAAATGGATTTATTTGATATCTGAGATTTCTTCTTGCAATCTAAATGTAGATTTTTTTGCATACATTTTTTTATTCATTGTCTGAGACATTTTGCAATCTACGTTCTTTGTTTTAGAACGCAGCATTCTTTTTTTCTCTCTTTCTATTTCCTGCGATTATTCCTCTTTTCTAAATTATTGATTATTCAAACCCTCTCTTACGCCAAATTATATTCTTCATCCGTCTTCATTGTCATCCTCCTTCATCGACGCAAAATTCCCTAGATATTAATAGAATTCCCTGCACGGTTGAATTTTAATTTTGATTCACATTTTGTTATTCTTCAAAGATACTACTCAAGCTTTGGCTGGCGAAGTTAGTAATCGATCGGAATTCTCGGAGTTCTCATGCGACTTCTATATATCCGTCATTTGTAATATAACTATAACATTTACGTTGTAATCGTTTACGTTGTAATTAGATCAGTGATTTCAAGAGCGCACGAGTTCTTCACGAAATATGCTAGCTTGATAATTAATTTTTTAACTAAAAATAAAATTAACAATTGCCTTTGCATTACTTACAAGGATCCAATATATTCTGAAAAGTTAAGTTAAGAGAATTATTGTATTAAAGATTTTTTTAATATTATATAAATATATGTTTTTAGTATTATATAAATATGTATGTTTTTAAAAGTATTATATAAATATAAGATTTCAAAGATTTAACAAATTTTCTTTTATTTTCGAGTCACAGTTTTTATTTTCAATCTATATGCTCGGATCTAAACGCTCCTTTCCTTAATTAATAAAAGTCGAGAGACAAGTTAAGTTTAATATACGTACGTCATATCTATGCCGTTTTGGAATACTGCCAACTTAATAATTAATAATGCAGGCAACATTAATTATCAGCAATATTAATAGCAATATTAATAATAATTTACATTGCTATGTTAAATCGATCTCTCAACAAAATATTTAAGTCTCCAAATCGGAAAAATACAAAAAAATTTTTTAATAAGTCAGGGAAAATCATTAAATCTGGAAATTAGGGAAGAGTTTTTTATGGAATATTAGTATGAAAAATTTGTGATAATCCCGGATCTGTATCTAATTTTTTAGATCTATAGCTAATTTTTTTAGATATTTTAGCAAATCATTCTTTCATCTTCCGTATAAAATTATTAATTAAGCTAAGAATATGATTTTGGCTGTTTAATGATGAGGAAACGTCTTTCTTTTTTAAAAAAAAGCTTGTAAATTTATTGATCTCTCTGCGTAACAAATCGATTCGAGATTGAGCAAAACATCAGTAATAGATACATAAAGAACAGCTCAAGAAAAATAGCTCCAGGTAGATAATGCTTCTTGAAGCCCCTTCTCTTGTCGATGTCATCATACTAGTCGTCGAAATCAAGGGCAAAGTCGTATGTCGATATGTGATTGAGAAATCATAAAGGAAACCTTCTCCGATCCATTTTTAAGCATCGATCAGAAATCTGTCTTGTGGGCGCGATTGCTTGATTACTTACTGTACAAGAATTGAATTACGTCAGTATAATACATGTCGAGATTGAACAGAGTTGAATGCACGAGATACTTTTGGCGTGTCGCCTAGTCGAAATTGATCAATTTCCCGAGTTGTTACGGAGTAACCCAGACATTGTGTCACCGTTAAATGACACTCGACTTGTCGGAATCTTGTCAGTGTTTCAAATGTGAATGCGATTATGTAAAATTATATGAATAAACGTTCCCGTAATGACATTCGAAAATTGCAAAGCGAAAATAAATACTTGGAAATTTAAAAGCGAATCAATTGACATCCGCTATATCTGGATTTTATCATTAGTGTCAACCTATGTAATCAGGAATTATTTTTCATTTATAATAAATCGACAAGTAAATTAGATCATAAAATAACGTGGATAAATTAAAATGATTTTTTTAACTCGTCACATAAATTAATTAATATGTTTATAGCCTTCTTTATTTTATTGGTGCTCGTTTGTATCAATGTAGTTTAGGCCGCTTTCCTTATAGAGAACACACTTGACGTTCATTCGATCCTTCTTAGCATTCAATGAATAACAAAGATAGAACAGAACTTGTGTCAATTGTGTCGACTAAAAGGAAAATAATCTTAATTTTAATCTTGGTTCCACTAACTTCATCTTTTTCTGGTTCTAAAAATTAGAAAAAGCATGAAGAGCAAGTTAAATCGAGATTAAAGTTAATCTACATTAGTAGAAAAGTACATAAGATATAAATTTAAAAAAATTCTAAAGACGTAGTTGTACACGTTGCTTAATGTTTTGCAGAGATCGCGTGACAAGTCGAGAATGTTGTTTGTCGTGTTCGTCTGCTTTTATGCGACTCATGTAACTTGCTAAAATTATCTTGACTTGTTTTCTCAACAATTGTACGTAAATATGTAAAGGATGCGTTTACGAAAAATTTAATCGATAAAACTAGCTATGTTCGGGAAATATACTCCCACGCCGGTGACGGCGATCAATAACATTCTCGGCGTTCTTTGTGCTCCATTTTTTCGAGATTGAACCTTTTATTATCTCAAATAAGTTTCCTTGTCCCTCGTTTAGTCACGCCATCGATCGATTCGAAGATGTGGATAATAATAAAGACATCGAGACGTCAAAGATGAAAAATCGATTTCTCTGGATTATATTTTGATGACATATCATAATTATTTGCCTGTCAACTGTTATCATCTGTAATTGAGGCTGAAGTTCTTTTGCGACTTTATCTTTCATGACAGGCTATCCGTGAATAAAATCTACTTCATAGAAAGATGATACAACTAATATAGTTATTTACAAGAGTAACGTTATTATATAAAGTCATGAAAATTCCATTTCCGTTCCGTAAAAGATTTTGATGTAGACTTCTGTTTCACGCAGAAGGATCGAGGATTGATTGAAGATTCGGCATGCAATGATTATATCGATTCAATAAGGACGACACTATTATTATCCGATCGAATTCCATATATTCGTAGAATATTACTTGCTACTGTGACATTATATCATCTCGTTGTAGTTGAGTATGTGAGTGTCAGGGTCGAACTTGACATCACGGTGAGCTAAAGACAGTAAAGAAAAAAGTACGTTCTTCAATAATTAATAGCGAAGGTTACTAAAAGACATACAAAAGTTTTGGATATTTATTTTAGTAATTAATTATTTGTTCTCATCTTCATGATTATGCCTGATTATTGCTGAAACTATTCTCTTTAGGCACGTAATAGATTTAGAAAATTGTTTTAATATTTTTAACTTGTAACTGAAACATACGAGTCCTGGTAACTCTGAGACTTTTCATAATTTTTAAATTTAATTTATTAAATATTATAATTATTTGCCATAACTTTGTTTCTTATTTTTCACAATTTTAAACTTAAAAAATTCTTTAAAAAATAAAATTGATAACAAAAACTCTAGTAGATCCTAAGAATCTATATCGTTTCCTTATTTAAGAAATGACAATTTAAAAAAAATGTAATTTTCGGATTATTATTATTATCAGTTTTGATGATCAAAGTTTAAAAACGAAAAAAGTTTTTGTTTTTAATTTAATTATTTCATCTGATCTGATAAATCTAAACTCTTGATGATATTTCGAGTTATGTTATTTTTTTATGAATTATCTCGATTTTTTTTATTATAATTTTAAGATATTAAAGTAATCGTCAACGACGAAAGAATTTTTTAAGGCTTGTAAAATGAAAATGACAAAATGACATTTGATCATGTTTTTAAGAGTATATTATTTTTATTGTTTAATTAGTCATTAATTAAAAAAATTTTTCTTTTTTGAAAAACTTAATTTTTTATAGTATTACTTTTAAAATTAGGGAATGATATGTTTTTTTAATGTAAAAAAAAGTGTATATTCCTGTTCCGAATTCATTATTCACGTTTTTCACTTCCAATTCTCTATAATTATGTCTAATATTGTATGTACCTTGAAAGTCTTCCCTTTGGGCATCATATCGTATTGAATTTTGAAGCGAAATAAAGTTACGAGAAATTCTTATTAGTCCACTTCAAATACTTGCATCTGCCAATTAAAGTTGTGCAATTTTAGATATATTATATAGCGCCAGAGACGCTTGCCACGTCAGTGACTACGTCATTTACGCGGACGTAACGATGCTGTATTAACGATTGTAGACGATGATTTTATTTTTCGCCCACGCACTACGATCCCAATTAGTATCTTTATTGCTGTTGCGCAATTTTACATATGCAACTCGTAAATAAAGGGCTGATTTGCCAATTATCTATACCGCTCTCTTTGCAGTGACGGCACTTTAGGAACTTTGCTCTCTCGCTGCGATGAAAATACATATATCATCCACCTGACCTGCTAAAAATAGCGCGAGTATCCGCGTTTTCTCCATTTTTTTGTTTAAATAAAGAACAATTATTTTATAAATGCTGATAAATGAAGAAGAAATAAAATTACAGAGAAATATGAATGTTACGAGAGCTTCCGTGTATGATCGACGATAAAATACATCTAAAGCTAATTATAAAATATTTTTTCTCAAGAGATGTCATAATGTTAATCCATCATTAATTATGTTGAATAGAAATGACATCAGAAAAGGAACGAGGAGCTACCTCTTACATATACTTTGAGATAGATAAATCCATCTCTCGATAAGAAAAATTTTGTAAGAAGACATCTCAAGAATATTAATTTTTAACTTGTAAATAATTAATTATAAGCGCAACGTGGAAAGAAATGCATTTATTCCAAAGAAAAAAATTGTTTGATTTTGTTTTCGTTTACGTCGCCTTTGACATCATGATCCGATATATAGTTATCGAGTGACGTGTTAAATCTTAATATTCCTAAAAGACAATCCTCTGTCCCTGATCGAAAGCGGATCTCAATTTGGTCCTGGACATCGTCGAATAAATGACGTGCAATATCGAGGTTGCTGCACACAATGACGTGCAATCCTTCTAGCTGAATTCTAGTTGATCAACAGATTGCTTTATTTCTAATAAAGCAATCTAATAAGTTTTTGTGATACGCACATCTCCCGATCTTTTCTACACAAAAATAATCATTTTGCTGAAGTATTAAAAAATTTTGTTATATATAATTACAGATTTGAAAATAATTTTATTGGACTATCAAGATAATTACATAAGAATCTCAAGCATGATGATCTCAATGCTGTAAAAAATTTTAATATTCTAATAATCAGTTCTTACATAATTATTTTGATGGTGCAAAATTATTTTTAGATCTGTATTTAGATAAATTTTTAGATATTTCAGCAAAACCATTCTTTTCAGTTGTGGATATCATTGGAGCATTTGTGAAGACTAGTATGATCTAAATTTCCAATCTGATTTCAAATAATGTGGTAAAAATAAAATTTATCTTAAAGATATTCGGAGAAAACTTTCAGATATTTGAAAATTTTCAAGCAAATTTTCCAAGGCCGTATCTTTTACAAATAGAAAAGAGCGCGTTCCCTTCAATTTTTTTATTTTATTGAAGGAAATAATAAAATTATATTTATTTATACAATATTTCCTCATGTTTTGCATTTATTAACTTATTAAAATATTATTTAGAATAAATTTGTAATAATTTATTTTTTGTGGAACACAAAAAACATTCTTTAGAAGTATTAATGTTTTTTTTCTTGAAATTTAAAGTTCAGATTAATTTTGACATAAGTATTCATATAGAAATCTGCATAATCATGTAAGATATATATTGAAGTGGTGAAGCGAGACCTCGTATAAATATCTTTGTGTGTGTTGCTGTATTTATAATTTTAAATAACGGAAGTATTATCGCGTCTCTAGTTATAAAAGCAAAGTTTGTTATTTATAATATCGAAGCGGAACGTTGATTTATGTTAGATATTTTTCCTTGTGATGTGCGTCTTCTAGTTTTCCTTTATTCGTCTGTTTTATTGAATATAAGCGAATGCATGTTTGTACTTTTGATTTTTTGGTTAATAGACGTTTTAATCTGTAGAAATGTGTATCTTGTATTAAGATATGAATTTTTGATTCTTTTTTGCGCAAAATATATTCAAGATTATTTTTTGCCTTCACCACATTCTTTTCCAATATTTTAAAAATACCCGGAAGTAAAAGTTGTTTTAGAATATCTAAAAATTTAGATAGACACAGATCTGCAAATCATTTAATAGGACTATAAAAAAACATTATGTAAGACACTCGAGTTTAACGAATAATGCCTAAAAAAATTTTGATATTCTAGTACCTAATTATTTTGGACTAAAATTATTTTTAGATTTGTATCTAACTAAATTTTTTAATACTTCAAAACTATTCTTTTTATATATGACATTTATCTCAGGGATATCATAGAATTCTGTTTTTGACAGGTTATTGATCGCTCTATACGAAAAGAATGGTTTTACTGAAAATCATATCTATATCTAAAAAAATTTAGATATAGATATGAATCTAAAAATAATTTTGTTCTATCTAAAAATAATTATGTAGGACGTTCAAACTTGTTGTTGGAATGTCAAAACTTTTTGCAATAGTGCTCATCATGTTTGAGATCTTATGTAATTATTTTGATTGCTCAACAACATGTTTTTTAAATCTGTATTTCTCTAGCTAAATTTGTGAATACTTCAGAAAAACTTCCTACATACTCCTATTATTTAACAGATACAAAATTAAAATTAAAGAAAAAAAACATTAGAAAATTGATTTAAAAAATTTCTTCGTAGAATTTGTAACAAAATACAATGCCAATTTTGTTCTAATTGAACATATATAACAGGGCTCTCGAAATAATAATCTTTTTTATTTATATAATTGTTTCTTCACGATGGGGAAAACTTTTATGGTCTCAAATGTTTAGAAAAATTTTCAAGTTGAGACGTCGGAAAATTTCTTTGAGGAAATTCGCTAGAAACAAAGATCGAAGAAGTGATTATCTTATCGTTCGTTGCCTTCTAGAGTTGTCAAGTCGTTATCTTGATGAATTTATTTAGCTCTTTTGTTTATGTTATTCAATTTTTTTTTCTGTCACGGATTTCCGGGATTGCGTCTGCGGCATTTCCAGGTTCGACATTGTAAACAGTTTTATCATGTGCAACCGGGAGCTTTGGGTAGATGTATGAATCATGAATGAATATAAAGCACCTACGCGATTATGTATACGTGCCGCGCTATATTCTCTCAACATGTGTTGTTTTACGATATTATCTTCCAAGGTTGGACGCGCAGTTTACGAAAATGCATTCCACGTTTTCGCAGGATTAAATCTGCGACGTGAAGATATGAAGATATGATCACATACATATGTGTATGTCAACTTTAAAAACGAAATCCGAAAAATCTAATCCCTTTCGAATATTTACATCATGATTCGGGCAAAATATCATTCTCCTTTGTTTTTCAATAAATTTAATTAAATGTATTTAATTAATAATTAAAGAAATATTTATATATAGCGTGTGTTTTTTTATATATAAATATATCTGTGAAAACATTTTATTCTTCATAATAAAACCGCTTAATTTCTCTGATTCTACGTGATGATTTGCATTTAATTGCGATTTATTAGTTATTTTCGTAATTCATTGGCTATCGTCATAGTCTATTATTTCATAGTCTATTATTTTGTATAGTCTATCATTAAAATATCATTTTCTGCAATAGTGTTAAATATGAATACATTAAGTTCATGGATACACTGATGTAAGATCTTGATTTTGTTTATCTTGTATTACAATTAGTAAATTCATTTCAATCTATTCGTGATATATTATATAATCACTTTTGTAGATTATTGATGGCAGCAGAAAGAATGACAAAAAATTCGATTACCTACATCGATTAAAATTATTTTATACAATTAATAAAAACTCTTAATCTCATCTGAATAGTTATAGTATTATTTGTATATTTATTAATTTTAGTTATAATATTATTGTATATTTATTAATTTGCTTCATTTTGGAGTTCTTTGTGGCGAATATATTTAAATATATTCTATAAATTCTGTTTCTATTATATGTATATTTATTTTATACATCAAATTATTAATCTTTAATTTATTTTTTAAAAAGTATTTTTATATTTTTGATCAGATGACCTTCAGAAACAAGCCTTTGTTGTCTTCAGAAAAATTAGTTGAAATTGCATCGTTGAAGTTGCAGTGGCTCGTGATTTCCGGGATGTACCTTTTGTTCTCGCATAGAAAAGAACGGACAAAGAATTTTCCCACAGGTATACGTATCTTGGCACATTTGCAAGCCGAACTCGCGACGCTGCTTTGTCTGATTCGTCCAGGTTTCCGACATCGTGTAGATTTTCAATGATAGGAGTAGTTTGTAATATGATGAAAACGATTAGGTGAAGCTGCGCAAAGTACTGCCCGACGACGGCGGCGGCAGTTCCTCGCGGCAGCGACTGTTCCTCGCCGCGGCGGCAGATTGCCTTGCTACTTCCGGCTATGCGTCGCGCAAGGGATATCGAAGGAAGCTTACACGTGCAAAAGGTATCATTTATTGATCTTGTGCTCGTAACATATCAACTAATCCAGTCAAACGATCTGAATTAACCCAACTAATTTGACTAATTTTTCTTGGCCTTCGCGAGTTATTTTTCGACGTAGAACACTGCGGAAACGATTTACCTTGGAGACTGACTAATTGAATTGGTAGCGTGATTTAACTCGGGAATAGTCACTGGTGTTTTCGTTCGTATTTTTTATCTAAACGATCTCATCGGGAGTATTTTTATATTCCAATTAGAATGATTATTATTAATAATATATTGTATATTATTGATTGTTTTCCTATTTATTTGTATTTAATTTTTTTATTAGTATTCGAGAACATTATGGATTTAATCACAATTTTCTGAAAAAAGTAAATAGAAATTTAATTAAATTAATCATTAAATGGAGCACATGAAATAGTATTATGAGTAGTATATATTTATTTTAAAAATAATATATTTATTTTAAAAAATAAAGATTTTAAATAATATAACGCTTTTTTTGCGAGTTTTTGATAGAATTGCCTATTTAGAGATCATAAAGAATAATTATTAAAAAAGAAAGAGAAGAGAGTGTTAAAAAATATCTGAAACAATATTTAATAATTCGTATTTTTTCGTCGCTGGGAGTAAAAATGTTCCAGATGACTATTCCCAGGTGACTATTAAAAATGTATTACACTCATTTTACAAATGCGTTAATATTGATACTTTAAATAAACTTTAAATATACACATAAAAATGTTGTGTCTATAATATTCTATTTTTATTGAATAATACGTTTTATAGTTTATTTATTTTATTTGTTATTTTTTTTTATTACTATAATTTAAAAAATTTATAAAAATTTTAGTCTTTATATAAAAACTTTAAGTATTTAAAATGATTTGTATAAAATTTTATTGCGATGCAGAGATTATTCTATAAATGAACAAATAAATAAATTTTATTTATTTACAGACTAATCTATGCCTCGCAATAAAACTTTACATAAATCATCTTAAATCTAATATCTAAAACTTACAAAAAAATTGAGATTTTTGTTATTATTTTATAATACATTTTCATGCATTTCCATTTTGAAGCATAGATAAAAATAATATTACTTTTTATTGAAATAATTTTTAATCTAGATTTTGAACCGTCGTTAAATTTTTTAAATTATTTTTAAATGCGATGTAGAACAATTTGTATTCATTATTTTGAAAGCATGAATAATCATTATTAAGAAGCGACATTAAACGAGACGCAATACGCCCAGTAAGCTGCCAACTATACATGTATCAACGAATACGTCTGGTATACAAACACGATGTGTTTAATTATTTGGAAATGATATACAAATAAGCTGGATATTAACGCATGATACATTCGTGTTGGAATTATCTTCTGCAACACGCTCGGTGTTTGTGCCAACATAATAATAATCTTTGTGGAGCAAATTAAAATAGCGAAAACGATATGGTGAGTTTTGAGATAAAACGAAAGCCTGCGATGACGGTTTTATCGATTTTCATCCGCGATGTGATATATCTACGTTATTTACTTCGCGAAATTTCTATTTCATCATGCGCATTCTCAAAGACGTACTGTATATGTTTTAATCACAATCACTGTATCTAGCCGAGTTGTAGCGCGTTCTCCCAACCAATTAATCTTGATCTTCGTGAATTGGCTACATTTTCGTATCGATCAGTAATTTCGCAAAGCTCATTTTGCTTCAACTTATCGTTATATAATATATCGCCTTTATTATTCAAAATACGTCACAAACAGCATGCTAAAGTAATGGGTGAAGATAAGAGTGAACTAAAATGCATGTTGCAGCTCGAGAAAAGCGGTTAACAAAGTTGTTAATCCGCTTGTATAGTCGTCACATTTTTCGCAAATGTGGCAAGCAAGTTTTATTTAAATTCTCTTTGCAATTTGTGGTTACCAGCACGGAAAGATTTTGCACTGGAATACGTACTTGAATCGCCTGTATCGAAATATTCCGCATATCAATTACGCATATAAATTACATGCTTAAGGTATATTAAAGTATGTATTTTATTATGTATCACATATATAACGTGAAAATTAATGCAACTATAATTCTGTACTGTTCGAAATGTTTTTATTTAAACAGGAGCTAATGATGAGTCTATTGGAATCACTCAATTATAAATTTCTTCTAAAATTAAACGATTCAATTTTCTTTATCTTATATCTATAAATGTGGATTGTTTTTATTAACGTACACTTATTCATTCCTTTTTATACGAATCACATGCCATTTTGGATTCTTGAAATTAATTAGATTCTTTTAGTTAGCACACAATGATTGCTAAAACTTTCCGATCAATTAGTAATCAATTTTATTGGATTTCTTAAATAAAGAATTTTTATAAAGGATTTAATATACAATAAGTATTTAATATATTCTAGTATTTAAAATATTGTGTTTTTAAGTTGTTTATTATATATTAAGAATTTAATGTTTACTTACAAATTGAAAAACAGATTGACGTAACATTATCGCAAAATTATATGTTGGCCGGAAATTTTTAACACTGTAAATGAATTTTACAGACTCAGCATTAGTAACGATGGTACAGATTTTAGCTAAGGTTAAGACAAAAAATACAAAAGACACATCAATACTTATATCTTTAAATACATATAGTATCTCAGAATTATTACTTTTTCCTTCATTTAAAAACCTTCGATGGATTTGAAAATAATTGTTCGAAATATTAATAATTGTTCCTACCATATAAACTTACAAATATCTTTAATTTTTCAAATATCTTTAAATATCAAGCTCCTAAAGCACGTTAACAAACATTTTATTCTCCAATTAATTTCGAATAAATTTCAACAAAATCCTCATGGCAAAATTTATCAAAAGTTTTACTATTGAAAAAAAATGATAAAACAGAGATGATGTTTAATCAAATTTCCGACATTAAAAAAAAAAATCGTTTCTGAGATAATTGACGTTCATGGACGAGAATAATCGTACGTATTTATTTTCTTGTCAGCTATAGTTATATGTAAGTAAGATTAGACGCCGACGGTGTCTCGGACTCTTCCTCTGTTGATTTTTTTTTCGAGGCGGCAGTTTTGCGCAACGTACGTCACGATCTTCGTGAGCCACAGTCGATGATGATTATCGCGAATATTACATGATTCCGGAATTTTATAGATATGGAATACGAACCGTACAAACCTCTCGAAGCAGCTGATAATGTTTTCGATGGCTTTTCGTAATCGCCGCGCCGCGTTGGTTTACGAAGAAGGTGACACTTTAGATTAGTTGTTCGTCGTCTCGGCTGTATATACATAGACTCGTCACTCTTTAGCAAAGAAATCTTTCAGATCGTCGGTGAGGCATCTATGGAAGTGAGTGCTCGTGGAGAATCAATTCGCAACCCCGCGAAATGAGGAGTCTCGCGACGCAGTCACATTCGCCGATATCGATTTTTTCATAAAAGCTACCTTTTTATTTAACATAGAGAATTTAAATATGTTATTCGGTCTTGATATAATTTCGATATTGCCTGAAATTTATCTTGTATTTTTTATATTTTTTGGAGTGGAATCTCACTATAAAGAGTGAAAATTGAGCCAGTATTGAAAAAGCGTCAATTTTTATTCAATTTTCACTACGAATGCATTGAATCATTTGATTGACCCATTGGAAAAAAATTTTAGGAATGGACCAATCAGAGAATGCTTCAAAATATTTGTAGTGTCATGTTGACCATATCCTAGTATGTATGTATTTGTACAGCGCAGGTTATAAAAGTCATTCGTGAAAACGGAATTAATATCGGGAATATTCTCCCTCGAAGCAACGAGGAGATAAATTGTTAGTTTCGTGATAAACATTGTAACTACAATTGGCGTCTAACGAGTATATGTTTTAATCATTTTAATACCGAGTTAAAGCATAGAGATGCTGCAATGTATCTCTCATTATTCAGTATGTACAATATGCATAAAAAGGCCCCTATTTTCGAACTGCGCAATACTGTGCTCTCTTACGATCGATTTCGCGTGTACTTGTGCCATAAAGTGCGAAGTATAATTAAAATTCCACGATGTAATTATCAAGTTAAACTATTGTCGTGACATAGATATGAACTGTATATATAATACAATACAACAAAAAATGTGTGATGTTAAATTAGATGTGGCGCTTTCAGTGCGCATATATCATGTTTGCTCATAGCTTTTACTGAAATAATAATTTATATAATTATTGAAGATATAAGTTGTGGTGCTCGTAAAAGTGATCTTTGTATCCTTATAGGTTTTATAAACCTCCTATAGTTTTTATTATAGCTCCAAAGCTAACAGTGAGTCGATTAAACACATTCAATTATATTTTTTATGTTGCATCTGCAAATTTGAATTATTATTATTAAAATAAACTTAGTATGTACATGCGCACATTCGAGTTACGTTTTGGCTTATTGAAATACTTTTCAATACCTAGTATAAATTAAATGGGTTTCATAGACTCAGTGTCAGTAATTGTGTTACAGATTTTGACATCTCCAGAGAGTTAATTATTCGAAAGCTAAAATTTGTTCGATACGATTGATAATGAGATCATAATAATCAATACCCTATAATTAATTAATTAATTAAGAAATTATATATCTTTAATTAATTGCATGCCTTTATATTTCAACGTAGATATGTTTATAATCCTATGTATCAGGAAATATATAATCGAATGCTTGTGCTATATCTATTGCTATAAATTTCAACTGTCTTTAGCATCATATTTCAAAGCTTTTGAAAGCCTTTTCGAACCGTAAGCTGCTATATTCTGCGAAATTTAATTAATAATTCTAGGTCATTGAAACTTAATTAGCAACCTTATTAATTCTTTATCCGCAACATTGATACATGAAATCGTTAGCTATCTTGCTTCTTTCTTTTCGTTTTTATTGAATGTTATTTATGATTTCTTAATTAGATAAGATACCGATTAAATATATCACGAATATTTTTATCTTCTTTCAATTAAAGTACAACTACATATTAATGAAGAAACAAATAACAGTATTAAAAATTAACCATTACAATTCTAATCACGTTTATCTAAGTTACGTGAGACAACAGATTGAATAGAATGTAAAGAACTCCGCAATAATTATATGGAAAATTAAATCCCGATAAAATGAATTAGTTTTCAAATATGACGTAGCTTATAATGTGATGAACAAAAGATATCCTAGACATGAGAAAAGATATCTTATAACATATTTTATTCACTATAACATTAGATTATATGAAAATTGATTCATTTAATCAGGATCCGATTTTCCATATAATTAATGCAGAGTCCTTTTGTATTAAGATATAATCGATCAAAAGCTATAGAAGACTAATAAAATCGATCAAATGAAGCTTTATCGAAGATTTCGAATATTAACAGAATTATTTTGCTAAATCAAAGAATTGCGGAGTGCACGTTTGAAATGCGCGAATTATGGAGCGTCGAGCACAAACACAGGATTTGGCGTATCTTTACAGTACTGAGAATGCTGACGCCGAGAAGAGCGGAGGTAGGCCCCGAGGAAATCGGGGACGGGCCTGGTGACAAGGGTACGAGCAGTGCGACGAGCGGCTCGGTCACACCAGGCGGTTCCTACGAGAACGGCGACAACTCGAAGGAGTTTCTGTCGACCGGAAGAACCGGGAGAAGGAATGCGTTACCGAATATCCTTGGTCGACACGCCGAGACTGGCCTTTCTGATTTATCGGATCGTTTCGAGGAACTGTCCACTCACACAGGTATCAAGTTAACTATATTCTTTTATCATTCATGGCCTCGAACAGAGGAATTGTAAATAATAGGAAGCAGACAAAGAAAATATTTTTTGCTTTGTCTTGTGTCTGGCTCGGGCATGCACTATCTACTGATTTATTGCACAAAAAGAATAATCTAAAAATAATTTTATTTAACCATCAAAATAATTATGTAAGAAACTCCAACAAGTATGATGATCAATATCGCAAAATAGTTTGATATTTCAGCAACTAGTTTGAATATTTTAAATAATTATTTTAGTTTAACAAAATTATATTCAAATCTGTATCTATACAAGAAATAAACGCTGAAGTGCCTAAAAATGTAGCTATATGTAAACAAATAATTTTATTAGGCTGAAGCATAATAAGCAATGCTGTAAAAAAGGTTAAATTAATTGCTGACAATCACCTTGAACGTTCTACGTAATTATTTTGAACTAACAAAATTATGTTTAGATCTGCATCTAATTAAATTTTTGATACTTTAATAAAAACGTTTCTTTCCGTATGTAGATAAAAAATTTTTAGATATTTCAGCAAAAACCAGTTTTTGCAAGCAGAGTATTAGAATAAAGCTTGGCGTTTTTTATTCTGGAAAAAGAAATGTTATTTTTTGCTCTTTTCGGTGTTATAGTTTTAATGCCCATGTAATATTATCCTTTTGAAAGGGAATTTTGGGATTGCTTAAAGCCTCATGTTGCAGATCATTCTACCAAAAGCGGGCAGGATCCGAATATACCAAGCACCTCGAAACAACACGGCTGACATGCCCGTGAGGCTTCGTAGCGGATCTTGCTGTCGCGACACACTGAGCCTTCCCATCACCGATGATGATGACAATGAGGATACAATGGAAGCATGTATCGTTTCTGTGAACAAAATCCTCGAACACTCTTTAATTCACTTATTAACTGTTATTAACGCGATGGAATATATCGATAGTACGACTGACACGCATAAACGACGAATCGATGTTTTGTCATGTCTGCTAGGGAATGGTAGAAAATAAAAATACGGGAAACAGACAGAATTTGGACTCAAAGCGAACTGAAGGAAAATTGAAGGTTTTTTTCAATTCAAGAAATCATAAAATTATAAATTGTAAGATTTGCTCTCAACTTTGTAGGTATATCTTACAAATTATGGATCTAATTTGTTTGTATGTACAATGAATTTTTCGAATAGCTCTCAAAGGAAACCAATGATTTTTTGCCGTTAAAATAAAATCGCGACTTGAGTACAGAAATATCAGCAGGATTAGTTTTGCTAGAAAAAAGTCCAGTAGCGTGAAATGTTGGAATCATGCACATTTCAGATTGAAAATGAGATATGCTTTAACTAATTATCAGTGAAAAACGAAAGCAGATAAATAAATGCCGAATTTATAAATTGTAATTTTATTTCTTTTTCTTTTATTATTATTTACTTATGATGTATTGTTACTTATTATTGAAATATGAATCAAAAAGTTAAATTTATAATAAGACAAGTGTTTTTTAGCATTTTCCATGTTAAATTAATTGATTATTTATGATATTTCTGTTAGAATTGGCATATTTCATAATAAAACTGGCAAAATACATATTGAAGCAGTTAAATTTACTAAATGTGATGTGATATTTGACCCGACTCTAGCTTTGTTAATAACGCTGTTTTAAAAAGGTTATGTATGCATGTGCGCGTATGTGTGTGTGTGTGTGTGTGCGATATGTATTTTTAATAAAATTTCTACAAAAGCCCTTTTTATTTTATATTATGCGACTATTAATTAAAATATTATGAGAAAGGAGCCAATGAAAAACGTGCCATCATGAAAAATTCGTTAAGATCAATTTAGAATTTTCAACTTTTTGTGCTGTTACATTTTACAAGTTCTCTATGTGCATAGGAAAACTAATTGTACGTTTTTAATATCCAAGAGCGGCATTGATATTAATGCACAGTGTATCCGATGATAAAAATACGAGTATTATTTAAATTATGTATCGTAGAATTACTCCAGTCCTTTTAAAAGTTGTGTACTTTGAGACAACGCTGCAACATAATATTATAGAAAGGAGTATATCCTATATCTTATTAAATCCCAAATCCTTAACTCTAGCCCACAATTTCAAATTCATTGATCAATTTCAAATTCATCAAATTGATCAACAAGATTTAGGTTGCAGCAAAAGATGGCCTCATACGAGATTTTCGCCAACGAAATGTCGACTCGAATAATCTATCTAACAATAAGTGATTTGATGCGGCCGAAATTCCACGTGCTTTCGACGAAATGCTCTTTTTCCGAATAACTTTGTTGAATTTCTGAACTCTTGGGATGGGAAAAATAAATTCAAGAGAAGTTTTTTCAATACAGAGTTTCGAGAAAAACGCGGATCAATACCTCGAGCGAAATTAACTTCAAAGTCTTTACGGTCGTAATTTCTCCTTCAAACAATTTATCGCAGAAATGTAAATTGCACTCGCGACGTTTAAATTACGAGTATCTGCAGTATCATGGCGTAATTTTATTAAATGTTGCGTTATTTGTATCTAGATCGCTTTGTATTATTGTGCGATTATCTCTTCACATTAACGTTTTACAATTACGTGGCGGCAACGCGCAAAGTACTGAGATATTTGGTCTGTTTTTTTAGCTGAACTTCTTGCACCGTTTATCTTTCTTCCTTTTCTGTCTCACGCGGAGAGAAAAAGAGGAAAGATGAATGGTGCAAGCTCAGCTAAAAAGAATAGACCTATTTTAGCAGCCGAAACGCGATTAGATGTTTGTACAGATGAAATCAAGCATACAATAGCGTATAATTTAATAGCATACGACAGCGGATGTATATACATATAGATTGCTCGAAGGCGATACAATTCACTCGATCGCGAGCTTGTCCTGGATTTTCACGAACATGCGTTTGAGCATATAGTTAATTAAGTTAATCAATAAGATATGTTTATAACGTATAATTTTGTATATAGGCACGTATCGTGTAATCGCGCACACGCTCGTATTCTCCACGTACTTTTTATGCTAAATACGAGCTGATGTTCGTCTTAAGCGTTCTTGTGTTTTTTTTTCTGCGTTGGACAAACGAAAGTGATAGGCTTAGGAAGTTGGCATAAAGTGTACGACGAGAATATGGATCACGTTCCCTGCGTGACATAAGTAAACATTTTGCGTGTTCCTCGGCGATCACCGAGGACATTCGTCTTTACATATTTCGAGGAAGACAAACAAGTAAGGAAACATTCGTACAGTAGCCTTGGCAACCTACAATTATGACGCAAAACGTTCTGACGATAAACATTGAATGATTTGTATCTGCATCAATTACTATAAGATTAATCTAGCAACACAATTTGCTCCCTCTCTTTTGACTATATTTTCTTTACAAAAATTTAATACTGGAAGATAGTTAATTACTTATTAATTACTGTTGTTTAGTGCTTTTAATACTCAAAATAAGTAATTTTCAGTATTATATTAGGCAGTATTAAATTGGATTAATTAATTATTTTGAGTATTAAAAGCAGTTGTTGTTTAGTACTTTTTTTAATACTCAAAATAAGTAATTTTTAGTATTAAAGTGACTAGTATTAAACTGAATTTTTGTAAGGGTTGATTACCACTAAGTTCTCGATATTTCACGGAGACGTGATAAGCAACGATTGATAAATGATCTCTAATCAAATTCGTGTTGCGTTATCTAATCATTTGATGCTTGTAATTTAAGAATCGACCGCGCTTTTGTGCGACGATGGGAGAGGAGGGGAAGGGGTCTGAGCATCGATAACGTGTTTTTCACCGGCGTACCTGCTTTTCGTAGTCAATAATGATAATCGCGCCGACCGAAGATAACGATCGACGTCGTAAACGCATGTTTGTATGATAAAAAATGCGGATTTGAACAGACCCGATCCATTCAAACGATAGCCGACGTTCGCGATTAGTATATTTCGACGCAAATGATTTTGAGCATGTTGACGATCACGGGGCGCGATAACGCGTAATCGTGCTCACGCAATCGCGCCTCCGCTAATACACCGGTCTACGATATATCGCTGCAATTATTATTAAAAAATAATAGGATCGATCGCAGCGTGCGGAGCAGCGGTCAAATATTCCCCATGGCCTTTGTGCGTGAGCGCATTAGGTATTTCCTATGAGGAAAATTCAACTCGTACGCGTGCGGAGAAGATCGATTGTAAAATGATGTATGTTACTTTTACCCGTGGGAACACAATACATTTTGATTCGTAAATATGCAAATTCCTTATGTCGCAACCCGATCATCTCTCTGTTCCTGTAAGGTATCTTGTCTCGAGATTGCGTACACTTGAGCGTTGTAACCTGCTCTTGTAGTTGGTGAAGTTGAAATTAAAAGTGTCTTTTAGACGTCATTTGAAATCTGCATAAGAGAGAGCAAGGCTCTCGAGTACCTACTGTTAGATATCAAAGGAATGATGATAATCCAATCTTTAAAATAAAAAAAAATTATACTTTTTAGTTTTAATTTCCATCTATCAAAATGTAAATCCTTTCTGTTATTTCAAAGTAAATATCATCTACGTCAACGTTATTAATAAATAATATAAATAATGAAATTATTTGACTCCATTGTTTTAATTAAATTAATGACATATTAAATAGGAGCAATGGCGACCTATAAAAATAATTACAAATAATTCAAATTGAACAAAATTTAACATAATAAATCTAATACTGTACCATATTGCACTGTACTGTATCGTAAAAATATTTTTCATAAAATTTCTTTTTACGCAGTAGAGAATTTCTTTTTACAAAGACTGGCGTAAAATCAAAGAAGAAGACAACATCATGTATTGCAAACACAGCACGAGTACAATTCCAAACACATTTATCTAAATTGAAATTGTGTTACGATAAATAAAGAATGTTGTTTCTGTAGTGGCAAAAAATTTCTGAAGCAAAGATAAAGGAGACAGAAGTTGGATAATTTTTTCCCCAAGGTATGAATCAGCACGATACATTTTAACACGGTGACGACAGTCGACGTTATCGCGAGCTGCTCTCTCGAACGCAACAGCTATTAAACGATGAGGTGGTCTCGCGGTAAGCGCGAATCTATCGGCTCTCACGTGCATAATTTATAAAGGGAGGATATTAAAGTAGGCCGTGGTTTGCGGGACAAACCGCAGCATGCGCTTGCATGCGGAAAGTATGCGCGCATACTGTGCTACGCACCGGGGTGACGGTGGCAGGTGGCGGAACAATGGGAAAATTCCGTTTGCACAGCTTGTCAGGAAGACGAGACTGTCCACGTGCGCATCGTTCGGGAAAATGCCTGTGAGAGGATAGAACAAAGACAGCACCGTCGTGTGCTTCTGTCAGCGTACGAGAGGGAGAGAGAGAGAGAGAGAGAGAG